TTATGAGTTGCAGCAAAGGGAGATAGGGAGGGAGTGGTGCCTGCCGGACGGACACCCCTCCCCAACCGAAAGAAAGAAAGAAAGAAAACCCACAACCCAAACGAGGGATAGGGGAGGGGTCCTCCCCAAAGAAAGAAAGAAAACAGACATTCCAAGGGAGGGATGGGAGGACGGCACGCCGCCACCACACAGGGATTTTAAGAAGAGGGGTGTGGTGCGCTATCCGTCGCCCACCCTTGGGCGTCTGCCTCTTCCTATCTCTCTTCGCAGTCCCTCGCCGATTCTCGCTGCAACCTTCATGCCACCTCGCGGTCCTCCCACTCTCGTCGTTCTCTCTCTTGTCGCTTCTATCTTCCTCTGTCGCTTCGCTCTCCTCTGCCTCATCCTGCGACGCCGCCGCTGCCTGCCGATCCCTTGCCCTCGCCTCTCATTGTTGCGCCTCTCGGCGCAACTCTGCCCTCCTCGCAGCATATTCCATTAAGCATTATCCAGGGATCCCCAACCTTAAGCCTCGCCTAAGTTCAAATTCTCTTCGCCAGGACGTCGACGTGCGGCTGCTGCTGTTCGAGTCGTTCGGCGGGTTTGGGAAGGGGGTCGGCGAGATCCTCTGGTCACTCTGGGGGGCGGCGAACGTGCTGCAGAACAAGCTGACGCGGGCCCAGTACCTCGATAAGGTGACTTGGACCACCAAGAGCTGGCTGGGGCTGCAGGAGCAGCGCATCTCAGTCGTTCTTCACACGGCCATCGCAGAGCAGATTGTGAATGAGCTTGCCAGCGCGCAGCGGTGAGGGCGGTCGAGTGCACGGAGCTAAGTGCCTCGCCGTCCTCGCAGGAGTCGCTTAGGCGGCTCCAGTGGTGTACCTGTGTTAGTGCCAGTGCGCGCCAGTCCCGACTTATCTCCGGTGCGAGAGCGGCGCGGGGCAAGAAAAGAATTTGCGCCTGGCGACGCACTTGCGGGCCAAATCGCATCAGAGAGGCCGACATCGGAGCGGCGGAGGAAGTCGGAGCTTAGGAAATCCGGGATGGGGAACCAGCAGAGCAACCAGGTGGCCGAGGTGGAGATCAACAAGGACCTCGAGGACAAGGAGCCCAAGCTGGCCAGCGTCAACAAGGAGTCGTTCATCGTGAGCGGCGCCGGCCTTGCGGACGGGGAGGCGTACCGCGCGCTGCTGCACGAGTACCAGATGACGAGCACCACGCTCGGCGAGGGCGGCTTCGGCAAGGTCCGCCTCGCCACCTCCAGTCGCACGGGCCACCAGGCGGCCGTCAAGATTGTGCGGCGCAACAAGCTCAACGA